GAGAGAGAGAGAGAGAGAGAGAGAGAGAGAGAGAGAGAGAGAGAGAGAGAGAGAGAGAATATGTGTTGGGGTAGAGTGGGGAGGAGAAAGAGGGAATGTTACAAACACCCTAGTCAACTGGTGAAGAGGCAATGATCATCTACCTCTATGAATACCATCAGAAAAGTAGGACCTGGTTGTGTGTGTGAGTGTAGAGCCAAAGAGAGAGAGAGAGCAAGGACATTTACATCTCATTTTCTCTCATACACAAAGTGAGCCTATGGCCTTTGCTTTTGTCCGAGTATATTAGATTGCTTTGGCTTTGACTATTTTGAGACAAATAGACTCGTGCCGCTGATAAGGAACACTTCATACTTTGGTAAAGTAAAACATGTTTTGCAATGGTCAATGAAGTGGTACAAATCAACTCCAATCGGCATGGCGACCGGTCGTCTTGTTCTTCTTTTTTTCTGTGTTTGCTGGACCGCACACACGTGATGAGTGTGTGTGTGTGTGTGTGTGTGTGCGTTTAATTGTGAGTACAGCTTACATGACAATCCTTATTCATCACTATTAGACGGTTTTAGACCTAAATTTATTATGATTTTTGTTTTCATTTAAGAAAGTTGATAGCTGTGATAGTCAACGAAATGGTTTGAGGACGGGGGTGTGTGTGTTTAATGAATCATAGGTCTACCGGGACGCAAATTACGGCGAACTGCGCTCAAGTATGCAACCAAAACTCGTACCAGAACAAAACAATCCACATCGCATGGTAACTACAGAAGGCACACATACCCAACAAGAAAGCATAAGAATGTGCACACAGCGGCCTCTTATCTTTCATCAACCCTATGAAAATACAAGGGCTAGAACCCGAGAGCACTAGGTCTTCAACAGACGAAAGACGTGCAAACAAACATCACAAGGCAACAAAGGGAAGGCAGACGAAAGACAACGAAGGAAAGGACACATAGCAACAAAGCATGCGATGACATGCAACAACAAAGGGCAAAGGAAGGAGGGTAAGGGGGAGGTGGATGGCCACACAAAGGCATAAGGCCACAAGGCGCAGAAAGATAGGCAGCAACAAGGGACAATGGTTGGAGAGCACGGGGGAGACTAGGCATGCGACGTCATGCAGCAACGAAGGGCAAAGGTTGGAGGGCGAAGGGGAGGCGGGTGGGCACACAAAGGCATAAGACAACAAAGCATACAGTCAACAACAAAGAGCAAAGGCTAGCGGGCGTGGAGGAGGTGGGAGGGAAGACGACACTCATGCCCACAAAGGGCAACTCAAAGAAAAATTACAAGTCCCAAAAAAAACGGAAGACTGAAAACAAGATTGTTTCGTCAGAGTTGCATAGACTCATCAGGATGCTGAACCCTCAACAATCTGCGGAATCTCCGTATTTGATGGTCTGGAACTTTGGGTCATTAACCCCATGGCCCATGTTGAAGGCAGACTGTCCCCAAGCGGAACATTGCAGCGGGCAGCAACCCTGGGGAGCACCAGGCAACGCAGTAGAGGCGACACGGCTGCACAACGCCAAAAACGACTGCAAGGAATGCCATGGCACACAGGACACGCAGCGCGGCAACCATGTGGTGAAGCACAAGGCAACACCAACAAGGCAATCACACACCAAGGGACGACAGGGCTAGAAGACGAGCAGCACGGCAAACATGCAGTGAAGCACAAGGCAACACCAAGAAGGCAACCGAACCACACGGTATGCAAGCAAAGGACACTGCAGGCACGGCTTGCGGATGGGCGGCAAGGCAGCGGACCAGCGAAGTGCAAGGCAACACCAACAGCACGGACACACCACCGAGCAAACACAGAAGCTTGCAGAGAACGACATGCGAAGCAAGCAGGACAGGTAGCAAAGCAGCGGCGGAGCGCAGACAAGGCAGTCCACACATCCAACACAGCGCAAAGCAGCACATGACCTACTCACATCACGATTGAACCCCGCAGACTGCTGGTTCCCACACACCCACTGAGCCAAGGAGTTAATCCGGCAAACATCCATCATTCACCCGTACGGCAGACATACATCCCAAAGTGAGAGGCCCCCCTAAGAGTTCTGTAGGGACTCCAAACGAGGGATGATCGGTCGTTTGGCACTACTTAAAGCACCAGTACACCACATATATGCCCGCGGGTGTGAGCATGAAACCCGCACCACTTCCAAACGAGGGATGATCGGCCG